CTCTTTCTGACACTGGATTCTAGTTCAGTTCAGTATTTGTCTGTGGGTATCTGCCTCTGCTTCCATCAGTCGCTGGATGAAGGTTCTGTATCCTAGACTCTCTGGCAGTGGGATTGTAGGCTGGCACTCCTTGATTCATGTCTAAAATCCATAAATGAGTACATACCATGTTTCTCTTTTTATGACTGGGTTACCTCACTCAGTATGGTTTCTTCTAGTGCCATCCATTTGCCTGCAAATTTCAAGATTCCATTGGTTTTTTTCCACTGAATAGTACTCCATTGTGTAAATGTACCACATAGAGTACAGAACTTAACAGAGAATTCCCAATAGAGGAATCTAAAATGGCTGAAATACACTTAAAGAATGTTCAACATCCTTAGCCATCAGGGAAATGCAAATCAAAACAACTCTGAGATACAATCTTACTCCTGTCAGAATGGCTGAATAAAAAATCCTAACGACAGTTTATGGTGAAGAGGATGTGGAGAGAGGGGATGTGCAAACTCATACAACCACTTTGTAAATCAGTATGGTGGTTCCTAAGGAAAATGGGAATCAGTCTACCACAGATCCAGCAATTCCACTCTTAGGCTTATACCCAAAAGATGCACATTCATACAACATGAACATCTCTTCAACTATGTTCATAGCAGCATTATTTGTAATAGCCACCTAGATGTCCCTTAACTGAAGAATGGATAAAGAAAATGTTGTATATCTACACAATGGAGTACTACTCAGAGGGAAAAGAAAAGCAATGGAGTATTGAAATCTGCAGGCAAATGGATGGCACTAGAAGAAACCATCCTGAGTGAGGTAACCCAGTCACAAAAAGACAAACATGTTATGTACTTACTCATATATGGATATTAGACATAGAGCAAAGGATTACCAGCCTATAATCCACACCTTCAGAGAAGCCAGGAAACAAGGAGGACATACGTGGTTCCCTGGAGAAGGGGAAAGGGATAGGATCTCCTGATCAAATTGGGAGCATGGGGGGAGGGGAGAGGGAGTTAGAAGAAACAGAAGGGGAGAAGAGGAGGGGGGAAGAGGATATGAGGGATCAGGAAGATTGAGTCAGGGGAAGAATAGAGGAGAGCAAGAAAAGAGATACCTTAATAGAGGGAGCCATTACAGGTTTAAAGAGAAATCTGGCATTAGCGAAATGTCCAGAGATATACAAGGATGACCCCAACTAAGAATCTAAACAATAGTGGAGAGGCTACCTTAAGTGCCCTTGCCCTATAATGAGATTGATGACTACCTTATAGGTCATCCTAGAGCCTTCATCCAGTAGCTGATGCAAGCAGAAGCAGTCACCCACAGCTAAACACTGAGCTAAACTCTGGAATCCAGTTGCAGAGAGGGAGGATTGATGAGCAAAGGGGCCAAGACCAGGCTGGAGAAACACACAGAAACAGCTGACCTGAACAAGGGGGAGCTCATGGGCCCCAAACTGACAGCTGGGAAACCAGCATAGGACCGACCCAGACCCCCTGAACATGGGTGTCAGTTAGGAGGTTGGGCAGTCTATGGGGCCTCTGATAGTGGATCAGTATTTATCCCTAATATACAAATGGACTTTGGAAGCCTATTCCACATAGAGGGATGTTCTCTTAGCCTAGACATTCGGGGGAGGGCCTATGCCCTATTCCAAATGATATGACAGACTTTGAAGATTCCCACATGGAAGGCCTCCCCTTCCCTAGGGAGCAGAAAGGGGATGAGACAGAGGTTTAGTGGGGGCCAGAATACAAGTGGAGTGAGAGGGAACTGGGATTGACATGTAAAACAAGCTCTTTTCTATTTTAAATTTTAAAAAAAGGAAAAAAGAATAAACATAAAAGGATTGAGTAGTCTGGGTGAGCTGACACTGGCCTTTAATCTCAGCACTATGGAGGTAGAGGCAGGTGAATCTCTTGGAGTTCCAGCCCAGCCAGGGCTCCATAGTGAGTTCAGGCCAGCCAGGGCTACATAGTGAAAGATGCTATCTCAAAAATAAATAAACAGCATAGAGGCACAAATTCACACACATGTGACTGTTTATTCATATAAGAGTTGTTACAACGTAATGCAAAGGTAAGAAAAGATGTAGGAACCCATGGGGTAAGAAGCGAATGTCATGAGGGTCTGGTGTGGGAAGGATGGAGGGGGAGCACACTGAAAGAGACAAGGGAGGCATTCTGAGGTGAGCTGGAAAGCTGGTGCAAGGGAAACTCCCAGGAATCTACAAGGATGACCCCAGCTAAGACCCCTAGCAATAGGGAATATGTAGTCTGAACTGGCCATCTCCTGAACTGGCTAGACTTCCCATGGGACACCAACCCAGCCACATAACCTTCAACCTACAGTCTGTCCTACCTGTGGGATGTGCTAAGTAAGGGTGATGCAGAGATTGTGGGAGTGGCCAACCAATGACTGGTCCAGCCTGAGAGTGTACTCCCCTAACACTGCCTGGAGTGCCAGGACCCAGAGGGCTGGGTGGTCCAGAGACTTAGAATAGAAACAAACACAACTGGAGAAAAATATGTCAATGTAATGATGTCCAATGCTATTCTGCTATACTCATAGATTAGTGCCTAGCCCAACTGTCATCAGAGAGGCTTCATCCAGAAACTGGTGGAAACAGATGCAGAGCCACATCCAGATATTAGGCTGAGCTCAGGGAATCCTGCTGAAGAGAGGGAGGAAGGACTGTATGAGCCAGAGTGGTCAAAGACATCACAAGAAAGCCCACAGAACCAACTAACCTGGGCACAAAGGAGCTCACAGAGACTGAACTACCAACTAGTGAGGTTGCATGGAATTGACCTAGGCCCTCGGCATTTATGTGACATGTAGCTTGGTCTTCTTGTGGAAATCCTAACTAGTGACTTTCTGACCAGCTGCACTCAATAAAACCCATGATACCTAGGCCAAATTTACTATCTGATACTAAGTTATCTTCTTTTTCTGCTGTAACAATTTGTGCCTGATGGCTGATGGCTCTCTGACCTTTGAGGAGAGGCATTGTCAAAGCATTCTTCTTGTCCCCACAGAGGCCCCAGGTGATCTGGCAATGCCCTGGTGCTCACTAGCCAGTAGATAGCCTGAGCAGAGTGGAATCAGTCCTTTGATGTCTATGACGGGCATCACACAGTGTTCCTGGGCCTCCAGGCAGCACCATCTCATTCCGAATCTATCACACGGGGAAATACATAGTGATCGAAAATGTCAAAAAGTCCTTAAAAACTCTGCTTTCGGTGCTGCATAAAGGATTTCCATTCCTTCTCATAAATTCTATCACTTTACCACACAAACTGTGCTTCAAGAAGTCAAGGAATTGCAGATAGGAGACAAAACTCAGGATATTTGTGACTTATGATCAAAGATGGTCAAAACTCAAGCCAGGCTGAGCTTAGTGGATGCAAGAGTTATCACAAATAGCACATACCCCAAGGACCTTCTAGAACCCTGGAGAAGTGGGAGCCCACACGCTTGTTTCACCAACTTACAAAGAGCAAGGCCCTGAACTTGGGCTTAGAGACAGACACCCTAGGGAGTTCCTTCCCCTCATTTGCCCTCTTAGTCTAGAATTTGTGCATTCTCTCTCAGGACCTCCAGGCATGTCCCCTGGTCTCTGTTAATCCATCATCCTGACAATGGCATCCCCAAAGTATCAACATTCAAGACAAACCTGCATGCATAATGTAACTATGCATTCCATTTACTGAAAGCCCAAAACAGAAGGAGCACTCTAGTGAGTCTTGACAGAAAAACACTCCCGTTTTAGTGAGGAAAAGTTCCCTAACTTGGAATGAATACATCTGGAAAGCAATGAAGATCCTGGGGCTGGAGAGACATCTCAATAGTTGAGCAACTGAGTTCAGTTCCCAACACCCACATCCGGTTACTCACAACTGCCCATAACGGCAGTTCCAGGGAATCTGTCACCCTCTTCCGGCCTCTTCAGGCACCTACACTCATGTGCACATTCCTGTACACAGACACACACAGTTTGTTATTTTTAATTTAAGATTATAAAGATCAGTATCAAGGATACGGGCATACTTCATAGTTTCTCAAGTTGGGGTCCTCCTGCCTCCTGTAAACCGTCCCTGGGCCTATCAGACTACCCTGGTATCCACTATATTTGCCTCATCAGAGCCCAACAGGTTAGTCATGCTACTTTGACAGAAATAAACTCATGTTGTCATTCCATTGCTTTTGTGTTACATGCCTTTGTGTGCTTTATAATGCCTTAATTTTTCCTACATTACTTCACAACTGAGAAGTGTGACCAATTGGTGTTCACTAAGACTTGCATTAGAAGCTGAGCGGTTGTGACTCATGCCTTTAATCCCCGAACTCAGGAGGCAGAAGCAGGCAGATCTCTGTGAGTTCGAGGCCAGTCTGGTCTACAAAGCAATACAGAAAAGCCTTGTCTTGAAAAACAAAAACAAAAAACAAAACAAAAAAGACTTTCAGTATAGAAGTTAGTTGATCTCATTCAGTTAATTCAGAAATAAAAACCAAAGTTCCCCCACACACACACACATCTCACTAGCCTATGAATGGTTTCAAATCTGAATATCTATTCTCTAGAAAACTGACAAATCTGCACAATGTCCCATCAAGGGTTTCTTCCCATCACCAGGGAATGAGGAGAACAGCTTCTCTTGGTAAGTGAGGATTTAACCTGGACAGCCCCAGAGACTATGAGGCGACACAGATTGCTGGCTGCAGGTCTCCCCGCCTTCTCTAGGACTGCTCCTTGTCTCCCCACTGTGTGTTTGCCACCTGTGCCCACACCCAGTCAGCATTTGATAAAGGTGCTTAAAGAGAATGATGGTCACGTCCGTTGTATGCTGCCTCCTGGGACAAAGCCTCATTGAAACCCAGAAATGTTCTTGCTACTGGAAGGTTCAATAACCACGCAGCAGCTTCACCACTCCAGAGCCAAATGCAAGCTCTCCTCATCCTGGCCTGACTCTCACTAGCCTCCCTCCTCAGTTATGAGGGTCCTGCTCTTAATCCTGGGAGTCCTCACCTTGCTGTTCATAGTTCCTATGGGTAAGACAAAAGCTTCTCATTCCAGGGATATGAAGATAGAGGTGAAAGAGACTATGCGGTGTGTAAGAAATTTGACAGATTAAGAAAAGGAAAGTGGACAATTAGAAAGTGGGAAGCCAGATGGTGGTGGCATATGCCTTTGGGAGGCAGAGGCAGGAGAATCTCTGAGTTTGAGATCAGCTTTATCTGCAGAGTGAGTTCCAGGACAGTCAGGGCTGCACAGAGAAACCCTGTCTTGAAAAAGCAACCTCCCCAAACAAAAGGAAGGAGAGGGGGAAAGATGCATATTCTCCACTGTCCTGGGTTCACAGAATGCTATCAGCACTAGACAAAGGACTGTGTCATGTATTTCTTTGGAAAGTTGGCTGTTTTTGCTTAATCTGTGTGGACTTACATAAAGTGAGAATGGAGGTTCTACCTGAACTCAGAACACCTTTATTCCCAGCACTCGGGAGGTAGAGGCAGGTGGATCTTTGTGAGTGTGAGACCAGCCTGGTCTACAGAGCTAGTTCCAGGACAGGCTCCAAAGCCACAGAGAAACCCTGTCTCGAAAAACCAAAAAAAAAAAAGTATTCATTAACGTATATTAATTATACATGATAATGAGTTTCACTGTGACATTTTCATACTTGTACATGACGCATTTTTATTATATTCAATTCCCCCAATCTTGTCCCCATCCCCTTCCCCCAACCCCTTTCTTCCTCCCAACTGGCCTTCTTCTTTCTCCACCCTCATGTCTTTTTTTGGGTGGGAGGGTATATGGTGGATGGTGCACTCCCTTGGGTTTGTTTGTTTGTGTGTTTGGGGTTTTTGTTTTGTTTTAGATAATAATTTCTTCCCCCTTCCCTCTCCTCCCTCAAACCCTCCATAAACCCCTCCTTTGGTCTCTTTCAAATTCATGCCTTTTAAAAATTAGTTGTTATTGCATGTGATATATATATATATATTTGTAAATATATTTATATTTATAATATATTTATCTGTATATATATTTGTAAATATAACCTGCTCAGTCTGTAGAATGTCACTCCTATGCATGTTTTCAGAGCCGACCATTTGGCAATGGATAAGCAGTTGCTCTTCCCTGAAGAAGACTCTGTCTCCCACCCTCAGCATTCCTTAGTTGCCTGTAGTTCTTCGTGTAGGGTTGAGGTCTCTCTTGAGCATTCTCCCTTACATGTTAGCATGTGTATTGTTCTTATGTCATTGTTCAGCTCATGTTTAGGCAGTCATGCTAGTGAGACTTCATGTGTGTAGCTTTCAACATTACTAGGAGACCCAATCTCACAGCAAACCCCCTGCCCCAACCCCTCTTCCACTATGTTTAGATGCAGAAGCGTTTTGTAGATGTGTCCCTTGGGACTGGACTCCACAGCTCTGCATTTTGACTGGTTGTGTTTTTCTAGAGCAGTCTCTGTTTATGCCTGTTGTTGTTGTAGTTGTTTCTGTTTTGCCTTTTTCTCTTCCTTTCGTGTGTGTGTGTGTGTGTGTGTGTGTGTGTGTGTGTGTGTGTGTGTGTTCCAGTGAGTCTCATTAGACGAGTTTGTTTGCAGGAACATGGGCAAATTACCGGTGGTTACACCACTGAAGAAAATGTTTCTCCCTCTCCTATCAACTATTAGCTGAGCATACTCAGGAAGGGGTATGTCCCAGTAGCCCCACCCCTCCCTCTGACAGGATGTTGAAGGCCACTTGCAATTCCAGTTCCAGGGAATCCTATGACCTCTTCTCTCCTCTAAGGAGGTGAACAGGCATACATGCAAGCAAAACATACATATACATAAAGTTTAAAACTAACGATAGAGTGTCTACTAAAAATTAATTAATTAAAATTACTTTTTTTGAGACAGGATTTTTCTATGTAACTCTGGCTGTCCTGGAACTCGCTCTGTAGACCAGGCTGTCCTTGAACTTGAAGATCCACCTGCCTCTGCCTCCCATGTGCCGGGATTAAAGGCATGCAGCAAAATCTGCCTGGCTAATTTTTAAATTTTTTAAAAAATTATACTCTATGGCTTTTGGATGTTTGATATCAGCTGGTAAATTGGTTGCTATGCTTTGGGATTATTAATAGTGATTCCATGAACATTTGTGCCCAAGTTTTATGTGGACATGTTTTCATTTCTCTTAGGCATAAATGTGGTAGTCAAACTCTTGTGTTCTGTAGCTATTCTGTGGTTTTGAGGAGGTGTCACGTCTGCTGCGTGGCCTGTGTCCGAGAACGTGCGGAGGGTGTCGGGGATTGACAACACAGAGACTCGTTCAACGATATAAAGAAAACTTTAAACAGGCTCCAAAAAGGTTCAAGAAAACCTCCTAAGAAAAGCTCCCACCAGAGAAGCTTCTGCTCTCTCCTCTCCCCTGGCTGGTTCTGCTCTGACATCAGAGGTGGATGTGTGTGGGTTTTGAAGGTGAGGTTAGTCTTTGGACAAGGTCGAGGTCAGGGCGGTTTCCGTGGGAAGGCCTTTTCCAGGAACTTATTGCCCCGGGCATTGTATCGTTTTTTTAGTAAACATGTTTTTACTAAACATTGTCTTACAGCTGCCTACTCCCAGGCAGAAGGGGAAGTGGGTCTCTGCTCAAGGTCTGGTGTTCCCACAAGGAGGTGCCAAACTGTACTCCATAGCTGTTGGCTCTTTTTACATTACCGTGATGGTGCACACGGTCAGCCAGCACCTGCTATTGCCTGCCGTCTACTCTTCGTAACAGACATATGATGGAAATTAAGTGATAACCCATTGTAGTTATCTGAATGTCTCTATCAGTAACGATGGCTGCAGGTTGCATTGGCTTTTTAGTCATTTGCAGACCTTAGAGAAACATCTGCTTAAGTGTTTTTCCCACTTTTAATTGGATTTTTCTTTGTTTTTGTTTTTCGAGACAGGGTTTCTCTGTGGTTTTTGAGGCTGTCCTGGAACTAGCTCTTGTAGACCAGGATGGCCTCAAACTCACAGAGATCTGCCTGCCTCTGCCCCTCCAGTGCTGGGATTAAAGGTCTGCACCACCAATGCCCGGCCAGATTTTTTCTTTATTATTGAGTTGTGAGTTCTTTGTGTATTCCAGCACTAAGTCCTTGTCAGATCTAAGTTTGTAAATATTTTCTCCCACCCTCCAGGTTGTTGTCTTAAATTATTTTATTGGACACATTGTCTGTATCATTAAGTTTTCAGGGTCAAGTTACAGATAGGCCAATTTCAATAGTTTTAAGTAATTTAAAAACATATGTTACCATATACATGAAGATGTTCATGATCAGTCAGTTCTTAATAGACATCCTGGGGCTTTTACAGCTTTAGTGAATTAAATTTAGCTTAATCGAAGTTTAAAGAGATTTAAGATTCGTTAGTGGGACTTGGTGACACACGCCTTTAATCCCAGCACTCAGGAGGCAGAGGCAGGTGGATCTCCTTGAGTTTGAGGCCAGATTAGTCTACAAAGTGAGCTCCAGGACAGCCAAGGCTACACAGAGAAACCCTGTTTTGAAAAACCAATAATAATAATAATAATAATTTTTAAAACTTGATAGAAGGGCCAGGTCTTCTGATGGTGTCCACCAGTACCCAGCATCCTCCCCTTCCTGTACCTGCCTCTCCAAATCTTCCTCCCTCCTTACCTCTCTGAACATCTCCATCATACTCAGATGTTTTCATTTATTCTAGATTCCACATATGACGGAAGACATGATGACAAATACCTGTAATCTCAGGACTTCCCAGGCTGAGCCAGGAGGGTTGGCATGAGTCCAAAGATAGCCTGGGCTACATGATAAGTACCAGGCCATTCAAGGGTACATAGTGAGATTCTGTTTCAAAATCCATAGAAGGAAAGCAGGGGAAACATTCAATGCTTTCTTTCTGGTGCAGATGGTTTTGCTTAATGGATGTGATGATCTTCAGGCCCATATATTTCCCTGCAAGTGACATGTTCTATCCTATTCTATAACTTTATCTACTTATCTCTTTATCTACTTATCTGTGAACAGGCACATAAACTGACCCTATGACGCAGATAGTATGAGCACATTTGAAGTAGTTTTGCTTCAGGAACAAACATGCTTTTGTGTGTGTGTGTGTGTGTGTGTGTGTGTGTGTAGGCAGAAATGTATAGTAAATGGTTCTATCCCTGCCTCATTTACCTGCTCTTTCCAGAAGAAATCATCATTTGTCTGTACTTATCACCGTCTTGTTTTCTCTTGCATTCATTTTGATGTTGTTTTTCTTACATCCTGGGAAAGTTCTTATTCTGTTCTTAAACCTTAAGCTATTTCTAAACAGCAAAGAATAGCAAATCAAAGGGGCTAGAGAAATGCTCAGTGGTTAAGAGCCCTGGCTGCTTTTGCACAGGACCGGGCTTTACAGTCTCGGAACCCACACAGCAGCCCACAGTCATGTGCAGCTGCACTTCCAGGGGACCTGACAATTCTTCTGGCCTCCGTGGGCACCAGGCATGCACATTGTCCACAAATACATGTGCAGGCAAAACCACTCACACATGGCAAGTAAAATTTCAAAACTTCATACTAAAAATAAAAATAACAAAAAAAGGCTGGAGAGACGGCTCAGCGGTTAAGACACTGCTCTTGCAAAGGATCTGAGTTTGATCCTCAACACCCATGTCAGGTGGCTCATAACCACTTGTAACTCCAGCTCTGGGGGATCCAGTGCCCTTTTCTGGACTTCACCAGCATTCACACACATGTGGCAGGCAGGCAGGCAGCGCAGGCACGCGCGCGCGCACACACACACACATTTTTAAAGAGGTAAAAATGAATTTTTTGCAATGTAATAACAAATACGTGGGACAGTGAAATGTATCTGCCATCTCTTTTTGAAGCCAGAAGTTTCCTGGGGTCTCAGAACTGCGCCTCAGAGAACCGCCACTGCAGAATGAAGTGTGAAACCACCGAATATGCTGTCAGATACTGTGAGGACTGGACCATCTGCTGCTGGGCAAAGAAGAAAAAAGTGAAGAAAAAAAAGATGTGGTGACAAGTTGAACTCCATCTGCTTAGGAAAAGGAGTCAAAAGCATTTAAAAGTTCCTTGTCTACAGAAGAATAAATGGTAAATAAATGCTATGATGAGTAAAAGGAATGCCATGCTTAGATGGTCACATTGAAATAAATACATGTGTCATCAGGTCTTGCAGTCTATTTTCACATGTGTAATTTCTTATCAGATTGTGTTTTCAACTCTATACTCTATCATATATGTAAGGTTGGCTTTGGCGATGCTAAGCAAGCTCAATGGATTATTTAAAAGAAGAGGAAGAGGAAATAAAAGTATGATAAGTATTAGGAAGAAGAAAGGCTCAGTGGGAGGGGAAGAGGAACGAGAGGAGTGGGGGGATATGATCAACATGTATTAAACACATGTATGAAGTTGTCAAAGAGTAAATTGAAAATTATTAAGAATACTACTGTAATGAGATATTACAATGATTACGTAAGTTAGAATGTGTTAAGCTGTCTTTTCATATTCTTATAGGTCCTTCTGAGTTTAAAGGTCTCTGTCAAGGAATCTGGTGTTATCTAATACCTTAGTAATAAACCAGCTTTCAATGTGTTAATGATAATATGTCGTGGAGAATTTCTTTTCCAGTTTATTTGTTTGGTGTTCTATAGGCCTCTACCTGGATAAGCATCTCAGTCTGGATTTGGGAAATTTTCTTCTATGATTTCACTGAAAATATTCTATGCCTTCATTGTGGTATTTTTCTTCTTCCCCTATACCCATAATTTGGAGGCTAGGTCTTTTCATGATGTCCCAGAAGTTTTCCATGTTCTATTCACTTTCTTCCTAATTGAACTTTACAGAGTGACCCAATGCTCTTCTTCCTCTTAAATCCATGACTCTCTGTTTTTGACATGATCCATTTTGTGTTGTGTTTGAGGCTTTCCACTGAGGATTTCCGTTGGTTTGTTGTTTTTCCCGTTTCCAGCATCATTTCAGTTTGGGTTTTCTTCATTTCACCCATGTCTGTTTTTTATCTTCTTTGGATTGCAATACTTTTTAATTCTTTGCCTGGTTGCTCTTCCAGGTCATTCTCATTTCAACACCTTACAATGGGATTTGTGTTTTTCTGGCGGTGACAAAATCTTTTCTTTTGTGTGTGAGTGTGCGTCTGTGTGTGTGCACTTTCACACACGTGTGTGCGTATGTTGTTTTTATTTCTGCATTGGGATTTGTGCATCTAGAATTAGCTTATTGGCTGAATTTTCCTGTTTTGTTCCAATAACTTTCTTCTTGCAGCAGAGGTATTTGCAATGTTCAGGAAGAGGCTAACTCATAGCAGGGTTAAGATGTGGGTCTCATCTGTTTATCTCATATTTGGGAATATGGCCTCTCTCCCAGGTCTTGTTACTCTGTCACCACCTGATGCCTTTATTCATTTGGTCAGAAGCCTGGAACAAGTTTCTCATGACAATGTGGACTGGTCCATGGTCTCAAAGCCAGAGAGAGCAATTGGAGGATCCCAGTCCAGCAGCTGTTAGGGCTTTAGGGCTCTGAGCTATGTGTGGTGGCTAGTGAGTCCCTGGTAGCAATCAGGCTGGGATCAGCCATAATAGAATCTGAACCATTAGGGAACATGAGTATCAGCTAGAAGAGGTGGCGGATGCTTTTAACCTCAGCATTTAGGAAGCAGAAGCAGATGGATGGAGCTCTATGAGTTTGAGGTCAGCCTCGTCTACATAGCAAGTTTCAGACCAGCCAACGCTATACAATGAGACCTTGTCTCAAAAGGAGGAGGGAAAGGAGGAAGATGAGGGAGGGGGAAAAAGGAAGGGGAGGAGGAGAAAGAGGTGAGAAAGAGCTTCTTTCCTCATAATGCATCCTTACGTTTATTTTTCAGCTCTTTATAGTTTCCTTGTGTAGATCTTTGACATCTCTGGCTAGACTGTGTTTGGGGGGGATGTCTGTGCTGGGCTCTCATGCGTACGGAGAGAGCTAATTGAACTTGCCATCTTCCCTGTGCTGAACAGAGAGACTGATGTTCACCACAGATGTTTCCCATAGCAGCAGTGTTTTCTTTGTGTATTGGGGGCCTCTGCTGGCCACACTTGGCTTTTCATCCTGGGTGTTGGGCAGGTTCTCTCACTCACCCCGACTGTACCCACAGGTGTGACTGTTTTGCTAAGTCTCTTAAGTATACTGGCTGTGTGGGAAATTGCCACACCACTGAGATCAGCACAGGCAGAGCCTCTTACATAATAATAACCTGCAGGAGGGATGCAGCTCGGGGTGTCATGTACCCCCCTCAAGCTCAGAGCTCTCCAGAATTTTAACCATACACTGATCTCAGCCTCAGAGCTATCAAACTGCAGGGTAATTCTCAGTTGATGAGATCTGCTCCTGGCCACTGCAGGCAGAGCTATCTCTCCTTATACACTTCCTAGACCGAGCCAGGCTCCCTGGCTTGCAGCCCTCTTGCTTTCCCAGACAGCCTCACTGGGTCCTTCTTCTCCCAGAAGTACAGCAGACCAAACTGAAGCTCTTTTGCCTGGGGATGCTTCCTAATCTTGGGCCCTCCATCAGGTCTAGTTGCTAACATATAATTATCTCACGAAACAGCCCCTAACTGTTCTGTCCACTGCTGACCCATCTGGCAGATGAATCGTTTCTCATCAAAACCTCCGACTGCATCTGAGGCTTTCAAGCCTTTCTGTGGCTTATCGAGATGGGACTACGTGACTTTCATTTGGCTGACCTTTTGGAAGTGGTTTCTGTTTCCCCTCCCTCTGCCAGACAACTGCCTGGCTGATGCTGTTTGACTCACTTCTCTGTGCCCTGCACTATTTCCTCTGCTCGTTTCCAGTACCTTCCACTCCCTGCATGGATCTCCAAAGCACTTCTCTCCTTGTAATGCAGTCTTCCTTTGTCTTGTTCTGACACGCCCCGCCCCTTCACCAGCTCAGAGGCACCATCTTATCCAAAGTTCATTTTTCTTAGTGGTTATCCATGGTTTCATTGTGGATACAGACTGTGTTTATTCATTTGTCTCTCAGTAGGCATCTAGGTAGGTGTGTGTCACTGCTATTGTGACTAGTTCTGCAAGTGGACACGGATGTGTAATATCTCTGCGGTTGCTGACGTAGATTCCTTTAGGCACAGACCCGGGAGTGAAGCAACTGAATTCCAGGGTCATCCCGTATTTAGTGCTCTGCGGGACCTCTGGCCTGACTTCCACAGCAATTGCACTAGTTTATTCCCACTGGCAGTGTATAAACATTCCTTCCTTCTACAACCTCACCAGTACTTGTTTGATTTCTTTCTTTCTCTCTTGTTTAAAAGAATCTTTTTTATTCAACCAATGTAGTTTTTTTAAATAAAAGGAAATCTTGGAAGGATTGTCATCACGATGTAATCAAGGTCTCTTGGCTTTTTTTCTCTGACCCTCTAATTTTCTTAAATATTGTCATTATTTATAGTAAATGTTCTTAAGCCTTTTCACATTCTGCTTTTTTATAGCTTTTATCCATTTACAGCTATCAGTTAGAACCCTGGGCAACTGCTGACACAGGCCCTGGGTTTTCATTCAAGCTGAAGTACAGTCACTTTGGTTAAAGGAGGTTCCCATTAATCAGAGTCAAAGCACGGCTTTTGGTAGGTCCTGGTTTTAGATGGAATCTGTGCCTACAAAGCCATCTACACCAGGGTCTTGTGTTAGAAAGTGAGCACTCTGAGCTTAGGCAAGTCACACTTCTTACCTTTCAATTTCCTGCCCAGAAAACTGTCCAAGTCATTCTTCAATGGCTAGAAAGTGTAAGTCACCATTTCTAGATAAAGTGAAAATTCAGCTTTTAGTTACCGTGGAATTCAACAGTTCTGGCAAGGGGAAGCCGACCCTCTTGGTTTAAATAAATAAAAAACCCCTAAGGCTACAAAGATATAACTGGTGAAAATAAGAATATAGTTCAAAAAAGAATATATTAGCTTTAAAAAAAACAGTCTGTGTCTCAAAAAAAAGAAAGAAAAGTAAATAAGCAGTCCTTCAGCAGTCCCTGTTTAGAATAAATATAATATTTATATAGCCACTATGGTCCATGAAGAAAATATATACTTTTATTGAATATTCATTCAGACATGTTTCAACTTTTATTAATAAAATTCAATAAATTTGATTCCTTAATCATAAAAAACCTGCTGTATACATTGCTCACATGTTGCCAAAATTTCTACCTCAAACATCACAAAAATTTCACTGATTCTAAAAATGGAACCATCACCCAGATGAGAGGAGCTAATTAGCATACATTCAAAGAGTGAATTATAGATAAGTATAATTTATTTGGCACTGTTCATTAATATTGTAGCATTTTCTTGTCAGAAACAGGCACTCAGGACTCAGTCACAATGCACCAGAATTTGCTATTCACATTTTCATATGCTTTTCAGCGTCAAGGAGTAGCTGGTCAGTTTGAAGAGGCAATTCACAATCCGGCTTCAGAATGGAGTTCAAACCCTTCAACTTCTTTATGTGCTCCAAGGTACCATCTGTAAGTAGGTTCATTTGGCAATTTTCCAATTTTGGAGAATGTCAAGAAGAAACAACTTAAATAAAATACCCTTTAATGCACGCGAAGACGTGTGGTTCCCTGGAAGTTCAAAAGGGATTGAGATGGTGTAAGCTTGTGATGACCTGGCAAGAATTACAGAATGAAGAGTATGCTTCAAGTTGTCCAGATTGTGTTAGCAATCAAGTGAGAAAGTTCTGGAATGTTTACATTTAAATGCAAACCCTAGAATTTAAGCAATTCTTCCTAAGACTACAACAGACTTAGGATTTTGATTCTATTCTAATGGGCAACTTTGTTTTAACAATTTGCTTGATTTGGTTTGGTTTTGGTTTGTTTGTTTGTTTGTTTTAGACGTGGAGCTCACAGAGATGCACCTGCCTCTGCCTCTTGAGTGCTAGGATTAAAGGTGTGAGCCACCATGTTGGGCTAACAAGTCTTAAATCCCTTTATTTTAATTAGGCTAAGTTTAATTCACTGAAGCCATACAAACTCCAGAAATTCTATTAAGAACATATATATCATGTTAATGAAAAGCATTAATTTTTTAAGCTCATCCCCCCTAGGGGGAATAAAAACCAATGGAACATGGATCACTGCACAGGACACACCAGAAATGGGAGATTCTCTAATGTTTGCATGTGCTGTAGCTTCACACAAAATTTTAGCAATAATTAAGACCTTTAAAAAAAGAATTTGCACAAAAAAACTTTAGTACAAAGTAATGTCACTGGATCAAAATTCATTTGAATAATTTTTATTATAAGAATATTTTTACATCATAAACGGGATTTGTAATCCCAAGCGGAAACATACTCTTTCCCTCAGAGTCTGAGAAGCTGTAATAGACCATGTTTCCAAGCGCAGTCTTCTTTGCTGTTTTTCAGATTCTGTGGGGCTGGTAGTCAAATGACTCCACACTAAAAGTACATGGCTTTTGCTGGTAAGAGCTTTCTCAAAACTGTCCCTCACATATAGAGAATTGTTTCCATAGACATGTGAGCAGTGTGGGAACACATTAAGTCCCTGTCATTGTCTTATTCTTAAAATAATAGAGCCAGTGCTGTTCTCTGTGACACAAGAGAACATTAATGATCAAGTTAAATTATTTTCATAGACTTTGATGACAAGGCCTCCATCCTCTTTAATCGTCTATGCAAAATTGCTATTGAGATTTACTGGAGGAAAAAAAAACCCAGGTGTTACTCAAAAGAGGAACCAGATGTCCATTTTAAATAAAAAGCTGATGGAAATGTTTTTAGGCGTTATGTAACATGCTCTTCATACCAGCAAAGGCGTCAAAACTGTCCTTTTAGGAAATTTTCCACCTTTGAGACTATTTTTTATTTAGTTTTTGACTGCCTAATTCAACATGTAAAATTTCTTTTTCAAATGATCTTTACAACACAGAACACAGACCACCAAAGCAGAACTCGAAAGTCACATTGCTGACTAGAATAAAGGGATGGAAACGGCCAGAAATCTGAAGAGAGATGTTCTGAATGTAATCAAGCTTTCAACGTATGAGTGCAGGATTCCACTTCTCCGAGTTGTCCTCAAAATGAGAATACTCCCGTCTAGTCAGTCAATATATTATTCTTAAAAATTAAAGCTTGGTCACTAGGATAAGCCGAACAAAATTTACCTCACCCCACTCCAAACAAGCAGTTCTAATCACTCCCTGTACTTCAGAAGACCAGGAAAGTTGTATGGGCTGAGTCCTTTAAATCTGAAGGCTCACATCCTGGAGTACTTCATTCCCTACAGCCTCCCTGTTTCTTCCCAAACACACCACACACACACACACACACACACACACACACACACACACACACGCACGCGTGAGCACACGCACTGAATAAGACACTTTTTGTGTCTGCTGATAAATTATGAGGAATATGAAGTAGGTGTGCACAGGATTTTATAGGTACTTTGTAAACATTAGAGTCACTCGGGTCCTTTGTTCCAAAAGCCCGAATCAAATCATGCAGTGACCACTACTTTCCCAGACGCGGTTCACTCATGGCATACAGACAAAGGGCAGAGAAGAAGTCCTCGTAACTGAGGTTCAGGTGAGAAGGCAAGGAGATGATCTCAGTCAGTCTGATTTGCCAGGGGAGAAAGCCTAATGTGCTGTCCACAGAACCAAACTTCAGTACTAAATCCGGATCCGGGAAGCCATGGGAACGAAGCAAGCGGTCAAATACATCCACGTTGAGATCCGTGGCTCTCCGTTGCTGCCGCGCCACCAGCTGGCAGAAGTCCTGGGCTGCTCGCACAATACCTGCTTTTCCGTCTTCTGGGGACAGCACCTGCACTGCCGACCGGCAATTTAAAACTAAACCGTCTTTGTCGTTACTCTCTACCAACTCTGCTGAGTACCTGGAACAATCTAAGCCCAAAAGTAACTGTCGTCGTTTTAAAATTTCCTCCATCAGTCTGGAATTATTTCTCTTGAAAATACCTTGGTGGTCGTAGACGCTAACGTAGGAGATCCCCACGGACACGCACCACATCACGATGCTCGCCACATCCGAGAAACTGTGCTCCGGCTCCGTGATCAACAGACCCAGGTGCACCGGCAGCTTATGCAAAGTCCGGCGGTCCACGCGCCAGCGCGGCCCCGGATGCATGGCGGCTAGTGCGGGGTCCCCGTGCAGGTATCGGTGCGAGTGCTGGTACAGGTGCGGGTCCGGACTGCGACGAGGGTTCCCACGGTTCGCCAGAGGCTTGGGCAGCCACCAAATCCAGTTCCAGGTGCCCGGGCGCACGCACAGCGCCGAGGCGAGCGCACGGTGCGGGCAGAGCAGTGCATGCAGTGCCCGCCACAATAGCGCGCTCAGCACCCGCTGTATCAGTGACTGCAGCCCAGCCATCGCCCTGGAAGCCGGGCGCCACCTCCTGCCATGGTCCACGTGCACAGCTGTGACCGGCTAACGCGGCCCCACCCTCACTGCTGCGCGACTGCTTGATTATAGCCACCCAGACACAAGTGAGATAGGAATCTGGAGGAATATATATATATATATATATATATGTTGCTTGCAACTCGCTCTGTAGACTAGAGCTGGCTTCGAACTCACAGAGATCCACTTGCCTCTGCCTCCTTAGTGCTGGGATTAAAGGCGTGCGCCACCAATGCCCAGTCATTTTAATACTTTTTAAAAGAGTTTTGTTTTTGTTTGTTTGTTTGTTTTTTAATGTTAACGGTGAATGTGTGTTGTGCTTGCTGAAGTTTAGATGCAGGAGCTGGTAGAAACCAGAAGAGGGAGCCAGGCCATACAGAACCAGAATTACAGTAGTGAGCAGCAGAGGAAGCTGAGTCAAGCCAGGGTCCTCTGCACGAGAAGTGCAGGTAGTGAATGAACCGTCTCTTTAGCCCCTGGGGTGGAGTTCTGATTTTACATTTTCCTGACAGATAAAAAGACTGGACAGTTTTCAGAATTTTATTGGTCATTTGGATTTCTTTTTGATGACTATATATTTAACTCATTTGCTTACAGATACTTATTAGATAATTAGAGTTGGTAAGTTTAATTTTTGTAGCTTTTAATATATATATAAATCATAGGGTTATGTCACTGTGTTCAGCCTCCTGGGGCAATGTTCCTCCTCCATCAGAATAGATTTCAATCTGACCTTTAGCTGTTTCCTCTCCCCGGTGTTCACAAACTCCTTTCGCTCCTCTCTATTTTCCAAATCCCATTATATAAGGTTTCTAGTCCAAGGGCAGATGGTCTCAGACACTTTATAGCAAGCTTCCTACCTCCAAATGCCATTTAACTTTCTATATTGACTTCTAGGGAGACTCTGGGGGGTGGCCATGAAGGTGGTGTGTCCCTAGGAATGTTCTCTCACTCAGTGTTGTCCAACGTTATTATTGTTGAACCAAGACAATGATCTAACCTTTGCCTATTTTAGCCCTAGGCTTCCAAGTGAGTTAATATTTAAAGTAATTGGGCTGGAAATCTCTTGAGCCGCATAAATTGCATGACTTTGTGTTGACTTAGCGGCCTTTCATGGACACTTAACAGCTCTACTGGCTGACTCTGGAACTAGTAAGCCCTTAATGCACCTTCATTTTTAGTCTGGAGTCCTCATTTAGAGTTCTAACGAGGAAGGATTCTATGCAAACTCATGGGAAAGCTGTCCTTTCCAGTTCTAAATGTCTTTCTAATCTAGAAAACATTCAGTCACTGGTTCTCAGATGTAGTTAAACATAGAAATGCCCATATTAGCATATTAGTTTTCATTGCTGTGGCAAAAATCCCCAAGGAATGCCACTTAAAAGAGGAATCTTTATTTTGACTCACACTGAAGAGATTTCAGTCTACAGTCGTGTGGATCCTTGCTTCTGAAACAGGACCAGGCAGAACACCAGGGCAGAGAGTATGTGACAGAGCAAAGCAGTCAACCTTGCAGTATGGAGAGGAGTTTGTGAGAGGAAGGGGGGCAGTACCTAGTCCTTGGTGCGTGTTCAGTCAGGACTACTTCCCTTCAACTGGGGCCGAGCTCCAGAGTACCCCTCACTTCTCCAAAGCTCATCAACACAGGAGGATTTGTTGGACTAGTGAAGCCAGAGTCCTCTGCATCTAATTCCTCCTCTAAAACTTTTGCGTTGAAGGCTAAGCTTTCAACAGATGGGCCTTTGGGGAACATGTCATATCTGAGTTATAAAAAAATATGTAAGCATGATTTCTAAGGACAATGAAACCTCAGAGGCAACAATTTAGACATTAGTGACTGTCACTACACACTATGAAAGATATGAGTGACATAAATAGGGCCAGGAAGATGGTTCAGTAGATAAAGGTGCAAGTGCCAAACCAGATGGCATGGGTTCCATCCACTATCGTGAGAGAAGAGAGAAAAAAATAGTCAATTCTCAGAAGTCGTCCTGACCTCTACACATGTACTATGATGCTCCGACACACACACACACACACACACACACACACACACACACACAATTAATGTGACAGTAATATAAGTGATAGATATGGAGAAATATATTTCCTAGTATCTAATTCTTGATGGAAATAATGTGCTTGTCACCATATGACTTACATCTCAAGGAACTTAAACTTCAGATGTCATCTCCCCAAGTGACTCCAAGGTCCATCCCTTCTGGTTCTTTTCAACATAAACTACAAGTGGGTAAGGATGGCATCTGAGTGAAACTCCATGTTTGGCAGTGCATATGCCACTTGTGAGTGACAAACTCTGCTTAACAGAAATAAGTATATAAATAACTCAGGCTGACAAATCTTAGAAACTAGGCAAAGAAGGCAGCTTCCTCAAAGTAATTTTAAAACAAACAAACAAAAACTACAGCTAACATGTGAATGGTGAAATACTGTATTGCCACAAGAATCAAAAAGAAGGCAAAGGGGCATCTCTCCAGAGATGGCTCAGAGGTTAAGAGCACTGGCTGCTCTTCCAGAGGACTAGAGTTTTATTTCCAGCTCCCATTTGGTGACTCACAACTATCAGTAACTTGAGTTCCAGGGTATCTGATGCCCCTCCTGGTCTCCTTGTGCACATAGTGCATAGACATACCTGCAGGCAAAAAAACTCACACACACAAATACTAAAAAGAAAAAAATTAAAAATGAAGAAGAAAATACCTGGTCTCAAAATTCTTGCTCAGTGTCCTACTGGGGGGATTTACTAGTCAATGTGATGAGGAGAAGTCAAAGGTCAGCAATTAAATACAAAGAAAAACTTCTTGTCTAGGGTGTGTGATTAGCCACATAGACAATCTCAAGGCATCTATTAAAAACAACTATAAGAACTAAGAAATGAGTTCATTCCTGGTGATAGTAGCGCACAACTTTAATCCCAGAACTGGGGGTAGGGGCAGATCTCTGAGTTTGAGGCTGGCCTGCTCTACAAAGTGAGTTCCAGGACAGCCAGAGCTACAGAGAGAGACCCTGTCTCAAAAAACAACAACAACAACAAAAAAAAATGAGTTCAGCAAGGATACCAGATAATAGGTCAATATGCAAAACTCAACTGCATTTCTAGAAAACATCCATTAATAGTAGCACTAGCTAATGTAACATGGACAGAGAGGTCATAAAGCTCACAAGGCTTAGGAAATGATGAGACTCCCAGAGCCTGCTCTGAGGTTACACAGGCAGCAAACATTCCAGGAGATGCTTCAGGGGAGCTCCCTCCAGGTGTTGCGGTAAGCTGTAGGAGCTTCTCAGTGATGCTCCTACCCGAGGGTCTGTCATCACAGTGTTCCTCCCTGCTCCCAAGCCCCCTCGCCCCATTGGTAACTCCAATAAACTCACTGTTTTGTCAAGATAAACTTGGGTACAATCATCTCTTGGTTGTGTCTTTGGCGCCCTCTCTGGGGAAACAGACACCTGTTGGCATATCCCTAGAAAATGTCCCACAGCACAGTTAGAGCCTGAACAGGGACAGGCAAAAAGCAAAGATGATGTTGTGTACCAGGTGTGGGTGTTCATGGGCCTGTGGAATGAAGTGCAGAGACACCTCAAGGGTTTAGCCTTTTCTAGCTGCGGGGTAGATTCATCTCTGCGGACTGAACTACCTTTGCTGAGCAAAGAACCCTTTTATTCTTCAGCTAGAGACCGGACATGGACAGAGAAGAAGCAGGGTTTCACCATCCCTGCAGTGACTGAGAAGCCATCTCAGGCTGATCTGTTGGAGGGTGAAGCAATCATGAGGGCAATCCCGCCGTGGCCGCCTTTCCCGATGGTATTGTACGAAGTGGTATGAGCTCTGCTATGAGTGATAAGACATGTGACAAAGTCATCTGCACATGAAGCAGGGCAACATGAAGACATAACACATTCTTGCTCACATGGTGGTGCAGAGAAAGGGAAGCCCAGCTCTCTCCTGGTCCCACTCAACGAAGCAGAGAATGCTCTCTCTATATGCAGAATGTCATGCTTCCTTAATAAATGGAGTCCACCACACAAATGTGTAGATGTAAAATCTATGATTCAACATGTACACAGGGGCCTTGACAATGGCCAATATAGGAAACTATAATTGGAAATTATCAGTCTGCATCTGAGCTTTTTGGATTGAAGCAGGCTTTTAAACAGAAATGAGAGAACCCCTCACAGCATAGCCAGTGAGGTCATGGGGTGTGGGGACTGATGGGATCAGTCTAAGGACGTAGAAGTACAGAAACTGATTAATATGGCTGCTTTCCCTTCCTTGAGACCAAAGCTGTGTGATGTGACTTAACGTAAGAAACTGGTCCATACAAGCCAGGGCTCAGTGCTGGCTGTGGTCCCCAGGAAGGATGGGCATTGCTGAGAAAACTGGACATGAGAGAGGCAGTGTTTGATTTCCACCTTACCTAGCCTGCTAGAGCAAGAGACACAAGTCCACTCATGGGGACTTTGGGAGGGGGATGGGACTTTATTTTGCTGAGGCCCATGATGGGGAATGACTGTCATGAGATATGATAGGCTCTGGAACACTGGAATGGTTTGGACCAGCATGTAAATTGGGTTTTAGGTGCTAACGAATCCAAGATGAGATGGGGAGGAGAGCAGACGATGGAACCTGCCTCAATTTCAAAAGTAGATGTGACAAAACTTGTTTCCAGTCAGAGTTCCCAGGGAAAAATTTTTAGCAGAAAACCAAAACCCTCTGAAAGGCTTTAAAGCCTAGGAAACAGTTTACTAGGAAGATGAAAGAGGGAGTGAATGACAGAATAGTTCAAGTTAAAAAAATTAAAGTTGGAAAGATCTCCCATGCTCTTGGATAGGTAGGATCAATGTAGTAAAAATGGCAATCCTGCCAAAAGCAATCTACAGACTCAATGCAATCCCCATTAAAATCCCAGCACAATTCTTCACAGACCTTGAAAGAACAATAATCAATTTTGTATGGAAAAACTAAAGACCCAGGATACCCAAAACAACCTTACTCAACAAAACAACATCTGGAGGCATCACTATCCCTGACCTCAAGCTCCATTATAGAGCTATAGTCCTGAAAACAGTTTGGTATTGGCACAAAAATAGAGAGGTAGACCAATGGAATCGAATTGAAAACCCTGATATTAACCCACACATGTATGAACATCTGATCTTCAACAAAGAAGCTAAAAATATACAATGGAAAAAAAGAAAGCATCTTTAACAAATGGTGCTGGCATAACTGGAGGCTGGCATGTAGAAAAATGCAGATAGATCCATATCTATCGCCATGCACAAAACTTAAGTCCAAATGGATCAAAGACCTCAACATAAATCCAGCCACACTGAACCTCTTAGAAGAGAAAGTGGGTGGTACCTTGAATGAATTAGTACAGAAGACACTTCCTGAACATAACACCAGTAGCACAGACAGTGAGGTCAACAATTAATAAAGGGGACCTCCTGAAACTGAGAAGCTTCTGTAAGGCAAAGGACACAGTCAGCAAGACAAAAAGGCAGCCCAAAGAATGGGAAAAGATATTCAATAACCCCACATCTGACAGAGGGCTAATCTCCAAAATTTACAAAGAACTCAAGAAGCAAGTCTCCAAAACACCAAAGGATCCAATTAAAAATTAGGCTACAGAACTAAATAGAGAATTCTCAATAGAGGAGTCTAAAAGGGCTGAGAGACACTTGAGAAAGTGCTCAACATCCTTAGCCATCAGGGAAATGCAAATCAAAACAACTCTGAGATATAATCTTACTCCTGTCAGAATGGCTGAAATCAAAAACACCAACGACAATTTATGCTGGAGAGGTTGTGGTGAAAGGGGAACACTCCTCCACTGCTGGTGGGAGTGCCAACTTGTACAGCCACTTTGGAAATCAGTATGGAGATTCCTCAGAAAAATGAGAATAAACCTACCACAAGACCCAGCAACTCCACTCTTAGGCATATGTCCAAAAGATGCCCATTCATACAACAAGGATGTCTGTTCCACTATATTCATAGCAGCATTATTTGTAATAGCCAGAACTTGGAAGCAAGCTAGATGCCCCTCAACCGAAGACTGAATAGAGAAAATGTGGTACATTTACACAATGGAGTGTTATTCAGCAGAAAAAAAAAACAATGGAATCCTGAAATTTGCAGGCAAATGGATGGCACTAGAAGAAACCATCCTGAGTGAGGTAACCCAGTCACAAAAAGAGAAACATAGCATGTACTCTCTCATATATGGATTTTAGACATAGATCTGGGGAGTGCCAGCCTACAGTCCCATGGTCCAGAGAGTCTGGGAAACAGAACCTTCATTCAATGGCTGATGGAAGCAGAGGCACACTCCCATGGCTAAGCACTGAACTGAAGTCAAGGAACCCAGTGACAGAGAGGGAGGACTGATGACCAAAGGCATTAAGACTGGGCTGGTTTAACCCCCAGAAGCAGCTGACCTGACAAGGGTTAGCTCTTGAATCCCAGACTGATGGCTGGGAATCCAGCATGGGACTGATCAAGACCCCCTGAATGTGGGTGTCAGTGAGGAGGCGTAGGTAATCTATTGAGCCTTGGGTAGTAGATCAGTATTTATCCCAGGTATACACATGGACTTTGGACTCCCATCCAACAATGAGAGATGCATTCTCACCCTGGACTCTTGCAGGAGGGTCTAGGCCCTGCCCTGGATGAAATGACAGACTACGGATACCCCCATGGAGGGCCTCACCCTCCCTGGGGAAAGGAGGGGATATTGGAGGGGTTGGTGGGAGGGTTTGGAATGAGGGGAGGGAAAGGGAGAGAGGGACCGGGAATTGACATGTGAAGCAACCTTGTTTCTAATTTAAATTTAAATTTAAAAATAAAAAGATAAAATAAATTAAACTTGTCCTAGAGGTGAACAGCTATTTTCTACAGAGAATATACTATGTAAATTTTCCTCTGCCAAAAATGTATACTGGACGGAGGGAGGGGGCGTTGTTTGCACAGCCTAGGGCCCTTCCAACAGCCAGGTGAGGCTGGTGGAGGTGCGGCAGGACAGAACAAGCCTGTAAGAATTGGGGAGCAGCCCCAGTAGCACGCATGGCCATCGAGAACACAGCCATGATGAAACATAAGGTAAGTTGCCGCACACCCTCCCACCAGTGTGCGTGAACAGGGATACAGCATTTTGTTTTCACCACTGTTTGGTCTCAAGTTTTCATCACTGACTCCTTGGTCTCAGACCTCTGGACTCAGGCTGAATTAGTGTAGAGTTTCCACATGTTTCCAGCTTGTGAATGGAAGGTGCCTGGACTTCTCAGCCTCTAGAATCACATGACTGAAGTTTGCCAAACACATAAAAAGATTGCTGGAGTGTTCGATCATTAAGGAACCACCAAGGTCACAATGAATTAACACTACATATACAAGTAAGGGTAATTTTTTTTATCTGAAAATACCAAGTGTCAGTAAGACTGCACCAGTTAATATTCTCTGCTAGTACAAATGCAAAATAGTACAGTTTGGGAAATATGCTGCTCCTAAAAAGACTAAAGATACAGTTTTTATATAATCTAATATCCTTACTCCCAGCCATTTGTGGACATAGAAACTTATATTCTCTCCAGCTTGGAGATAGAAAAATACAGATATAGATAGCTGCTCAGAAACTTATTCATATCTACCCAAAACTCACAAGTCACATGATTTACATCTGTTAAATGGATGGACTATGATAACATTGTAAGTTGGTGTTCTTCAATACAAAGGGATGGTCCCATTAGTCTAGTCTGGTGTGTGAGGAGATTGAAGGTGGCCACTGACCCTAACCAGTGGGTGAAGAAAATCAAAAGTCCACCGTTCCTCTTAGAACCACAGAGAATGAGACAAGAAGAAAGCACAATTTTAAACAGAAGCCAGTGAGCACTCCCCGTGGCTTGTCCTCAGGCTCAGCACAGAAAGAATGGACAAGATAACCAACTCCCACCTTCTTCCTGGAAGTGATTTGTCTGCTCACTCCCAGACAATGCTTGCAGATGAGGCTCTTAACTGGCCTGGATGTGATTACTGGCAAGGCATTTCATTAGTAAACATCCTGCGCCAGAATTTTATTGAAGGGATTAAAACAATCACACAGCACCAAAACAGAGATTTCATGGCTGAATAATATAATAACTGAGTTGAAATCTTCAGGGAGGGGGTTTAACATCAGACAAGGCCATGCAGGAGACATGTCCCTGACAATCAACCAGTCTGAAAATAGAAAAGGAAAAAGAATGTAAAAATGTAGAGATGAGTTAGGAGATATATCTACAGGACAGACAAGTTGATACTGTTCTGAGAAGAGTCGGAAAGCTTATACAGGAAAAAATTTCAAGTTCTTTCTAATTTTTTTTTATTTGAAAAGCATATGTGAACCTCATGCCTAAGAACCTAAGTATGCAAAGCAAGAGTTGACAGATCTGAAAGGAGAAGTTGATGGCAACGCAATATTAGTAAAATGCCTTAAGTGCCCCACTTTTCAGGATGGATAGAAAATCCAGAAGCCAAGTATGGAGGCTCAGGCCTGTAATGCAGTCCCAGGGAAGTAGAGGCTGCGGGAATGAACTCAAGGCTTCATGCATACAAGGAAAGCACTCTGTAAAGGGAGCTACACCTTCACCCAGCAGAAACATCTAAATGGTGTAGCCACACTAAGCAATAGAAAATCCCTGTGGTATTATAAACTGCAACACACTCAGTACTACAATTTAGGTATTTTCCAGGTGACTTTTATTTTCGTGTTTTCTATATTAAAGCTTGAATAAACACTTCATGAATAAGGATACACAGGTAAGTGTTCTAACTCCCAGCTGTACTCCAGTCACAAACAAGGAATCTGACCAATCGGTAAACATTTATTAGTCATAGGTGAAATACAATTCAGTTACTATACATCTTTAGTGTGCATACTCCCGAGAGGGGCTGGGGTAGAAAACACCAGCTGGAATCCAAAATAAGAAGTGACCACACAAGTGAGAACATAAATCAGTATAATTAGAAAGACAGCGGTGAGATTTCTGGGTCTGCGGCTACACGTGGATCTACTAAAACAGAATTTGACCTATAAAAAAAGGAAGAAAGAAACATTTGTCACGACACTATTTGTAAAAAGTCCAAAACTGGAAACTATAGATACAATCATTTGGCTACACAAGAATAGTCACAGGTATGTTTCTCCAAGGCAATACTACACACCATTGAGAGGGATGAGTACAGTCACATGATACAACGGAATAGATTCACAAAAGCATTTCAGAGCAGAAACCACACCTGAGGAAGGACCCTGGATCTGATCTAGTTTGGTTGTAGAGCCCTTGTGTAGCAGGACTGAGACCCTGGGCTCTGTCTGCAGCCCCACAAAAGTGTTTTAAAGAAGTAACTATTGGATAATTCCATGAGTGCTGGGACCTTGCCCTTTAGAAGGGCAAGGGGTAACGAGAGAAAATGATAGTGGCAAAGAATTTAGCTTAAAGTATTTCCTGAAGAAAGGCAAGTAAGAAACAGCCCGTGGAAACACTAACAGCCTAAAGCTATCATTTTAAATGTGCAACTGCATATCTCAGAATCCCCAGCGAAGCCAGTGGGACAGCCCCGATACTTACAATTACTTCACAAAAAGAGTGGGCATGTCCTTTGGGCTTATACAGCACAGAAAATTAGTACCACAAAGAATGTTATAAATTTCATCATCTGTACACTTTTCCCTGCAAACGCCTTTTAATAGCCAGCATGTATCGAAAATACGTCTTATGTAAATATTCAGTCCACTTCTAGCTGCAAAGAGGAAAAAAAGTTAATGGGCAGTTATTGTCCTCCAGTGTCATGGATAAATTAGACTTCATACATTTTAATAAGAAACTCTACCTAATCAAATATATCCATCACATCTATGGCTCCACAGAAATGGCTTGACGTACCTATGACCTATACCTAAATCTAGCAATGTTAACACCTAGGTACCCCTGGAAGTCAAAGAGTATGGATGGGAGGAAGGGTGTTAGTTCATAGGAATGGGAGCTGCCCAGGTAAGCCGTGGTTTCTTTACTAGCTAGCAGCCTAGAACCATGGACCGGGCTTTGATCTGCCAAAAGAGTCAGGTGTGTGTAAATAACCAATAGTGTGTGACCAAATGCTGCTGGCAAGCAAACTTGCCTGCTGTGTACTCACTAGCCCTGAAGCACTCCTCTGGGGCCAGAGGAGTTGGGAGGAGATACCTTGCAGTGCCCAGAGACTCTGCCACACACAAGAGCAGCAACTGTCTCAGTGTGTTCCCTGGTACCTGTCTTTCAAACATTTCACACTTAGCCTGAAGTGGCAGCTTTTGAATATGAAGGTTTAAGGTGGGAGGTTTAAGGTTAAGGAATTTTCTGAACCGCCCCGGCAAAACCACAAGCCCCAACTTCTTACATTACTCCCTTTTGTCCAGAGCACAGAGTCTGGCTACTCATTCTGATGCCCCCATGGGATCACACTGTGCTACAAAGTAATTTAATAGCAGGCTGGCAAATAGCACAGGTTTTAGATTCTTCTCACTGTAACATATGTCTTGACTTCTAAATAAATGAAAAAGTGAATCCACAGCCAGCCATGGGGGCGAGCTCCCCAAGAGTCCCACTTCCACCCATGTTCTATCTGTGCTCCAAGAAGCTCATCACTGCACTCTGCCCCATTTCTGCCAACATCGGGTCAGCCTGCCTACAAGCTTCACGGAGGCTGGAGACCCAAATGCACAATCAGCGTCTTCTCTGGAGACAGCTGCCTCTTGTTAGAGTCCTTGGCACCGCCTCTTCATTCCTTGCAACTACCCACACCATTTATCTCTGCCCATAGCCCTCCCTGTTTCTACCTCTGTTCTCTCAGCACTGCCTTTGTCTCCGTCTTATAAAACCTCACACGGTAATCCCATAAGAAAAGGAATTCATTTTACCTGGTGGAACATAGGAGAGTAAGACAAAGACCACAAGGATCAGCTGCAGGCTCCTCATGACCAGACCAGCGAGTGAAGAGTCAGCTGAGAGGCAAGGCAGAGTCACTGTATGTGTAGCTTTTGAGACATGAAGATCTATCTGCATGGCTAGTGAACCTTTTAGAACAAGCACATCTGCTTGCTCTACTGAGCAGCCCAATGAATGCAAGATCTGACTTCGAATACAACATCTCTTCACTGACAAATGCTTGCTGTCTGCCACTTCTGAGCCACCAACCCAATTTACACTGCTGCTTCAGAGCTACCAACCCAATCGCTACTGGGATTCTGTGTAGATGTCTTTGTATTTTCAGAGTACACCCATTTAACAAATGCTTATTGTATTTACAAAGCTGTAAGTCTCATGTCACTGGCAGTGTTGGGAATGGTTATTTTCACTCTTACACATTCAAAACTCAGGTGGAAATTGTCCCCTTTTGAAAAGCAAGTCCTCTGAATTGTTACTGAACTAAAGAGCTTTACCGAGTTCACGTAAACCATCAATGGTAGCAGCACAATGTTCTAACTGACTCCTGTGTGTGGAAGTTGAAGACTGATTCTAGCTTGACTGCAAGCATTTTGGAAAATAAGAGCTTCCCCAAAGAGTTCAAGATAACTCCACAGTACCACCAACACGATTCCAGAGAACACTGAGACATGACCTCCTACTGAGCATGGCCATGTGCTTAGACATGTGCTGGGCATTGTGAGGTAGGAAGTGAGATAAAAATCATTTCCTTGAGAGCTGAGGGTCAACAGGGCTTAGCAGCTTCTGAGGTGTGTTTACAAAGGCTGTATGGTGTCGGTATGAAGACCAATAACCACTTAAGAAGTAAATCTGAGCACTGCTCTATACTCTACACGCCAGCTTTTGAGCTTTTAATAGGGCGCTTCATTGGGCTAAACAACAGTATTCTCACCCGTAGAGCAGGTTGTCCATCCTTGGTCTATCTACCTGTCCCAGAGACTTTTGAGAGCAAACGAAATAATTTTCATGAAAAATCCTTGTGAAGTGTACATTTAAGGGAACAAACTAAGCAATAGTGGAGAGACTACCTTAAATGCCCATCCCTAATAATGACCTTATATGCTGTCCTAGAACCTTCATCCAGTGACTGATGGAAGCAGAGGCAAACAACTACAGCTAAACACTGAACTGAACTCCTGGAAACCAGTGACAGAGAGAGAGGAGTGATGAGCAAATTGGTAAAGAATGGGCTGGAGAAACCAGCAGAGACAGCTGACCTGAGCAAAGGGAAGCTCTTGGACCCCAGACCGACAGCTGGGAGGCCAGCATGGGACTGATCCAGACCCCCTGAATGTGGGAGTCAATGAAGAGACCTGGGCAACCTATGGGGCACTGGGCAGTAGATCAGTATTTATCCCTGGCATACAAATGGACTTCGTGTGTCCATAACACAAAGAGGGATGCTCTCCCAGCTTGGACTCTTGGGGAATGGCCTGGACCCTGCCCTGAATGAAATGATAGACTCTGGATATCCCCTATGTGGAAGGGAGTGGGGACAGGGTGGGAGGCTGGGGGGGATGATGTGAGGGTGAGGGAGCAGGGGAGGGAGAGGGAGCTGGGATTGACATATGAAGCAAGCTTTTTTCTTTAAAAATGTAATAAAAATAGTAGAAAAAAAGAGTTGTCATGATAATGGTGTCTCTTCACAGCAATAGAAACCCTAACTAAGGTATCCACCTTAGTTAGATGACAGTTAGCTAGCTGATAGATAGATAGACTGACCACCCAACCATTTCATTGAGCTCTTACTTTCTTTTCTATTTCTTTTTTCCTTTGGTTTTTCAAGACAGGGTTTCTCTGTAGTTTTGGAGCCTGTCCTGGAACTCGCTCTGTAAACCAGGCTGGCCTTGAACTCATAGGGATCTTTCCAAGTGCTGGGACTAAAGGCATATATCACCACTGCCCAGCAGGCTCTTATTTTCAGACTTCATGAGTCTTATAACATGACATGGGTTCATATCTGTGAAAGACTCATGAAAGATTTACAGCACAGAAAATCAGCAAATAATGAGTAGAAGACATGAGTTCAGAGGAACCTAAGGGTTCCCCATCACATGATCACAATGCTATGAGGGACACTCCTAAAGAACATGTTCCATCCAGAAGCACAGCCAGATTTGCTCACCCACGGTCCATGAGGTTTCTGACCTTTTCTCCTCCAACAAATCACCTTTGCCTCCATTTCAACCTGCCCACTGTGCCCTCCAGAATCCCAACTCCACTGGACATATTCCTTTGAGCCTTCCAGCTCTGAGTCAGTGAAATTCTGGGTTCTCTGCGGACACTGTTCCTGAACAGCCTTTACTGTTTGGAAGTGATTCACCTTTGGGGGCATCACAAGCCATGGGGCAGGCAAGTAGCTTCTTTTGACTTCTAAGCCTCCCTGCCCCTTCCACAACAGTACCTTCTGGAAACTGGTACCCCCTTTCCTTCTCCCTGCTCACACTGAGTACATCATTACATCTTACCATTTTACCTCCAACATGTAGTTCACACCCATAAACTCTTCTACAGCTCCACTGCTGCCCCTCAATCCCCTCAAGTCATCGCCATCTGTCACTAAACTAAGTGACCTTCTACCTGGTCTCACGCATCATGCTTAGATAATTACCATCCATCCTCCATTCAATAATTGAAATAGCCTTTATGGAATCAAAACCTGACCATGAATTTGCCTGATTAAAGCCCTTCAGCGGTTCCATAGTGAGATCTATTAGCACAGACAACTAATGTGTGCTGTCCTGATTTGCTTTCTGTTGCTATGATAAAACACCATGACCAAAAGCAACTTGAGGAATAATGCATCCATTTGGCTTGTACATCTCAATCACAGTCCATCACTGAAGGTGCTAAGGCAGGCAGGCAGGAACTCAAACAGAGACCAGCAAGGAAAGCTTCTCATGGGCTTGTTCTCCATGGCTTGTTTGGTTTGATTTCTTGTACCCCCTAGGACCATCTGCCCAGGGATAGTACTTCCCACAGTAGGCTGGGTCCTTCCGCATCAGTCATCAATCAATAAGATGCCCCATAGGCCATAGTTTCCTCTCTCAGATGACTCTAACTTCTGTCAAGTTGACAAAAAAAAATCATCCTAACAAACACATGTACTAATAATTAACATAGTTTTCAAAAGCCTTCTGGGGTAGAGACTAGTACAAATGTACATATACAGAAATGTCCTAATGGAACCATTGACTCCATAATTAATACATGCTAGTAAGGACTAAGTAAAATTTCCAAAATGTTGGTCATAGTGAGTATGTATGTACCAGCCATGTTTTTTTTCTTTCTTATTGTTGTTGTATTTTTTTATTTTCTACTATCTCACAAATCACATTTTTATTGCATTCTAAATATTGTATATAGGATGGCAAGATGGCTCAGATGGGTAAACGTGCTTACCGCGAAGCTGAGGACCTGAGTTTGAACCTTGAATCCCATGGTGGAAAGAGAAAACTGATGCCCACCAGTTGTCCTCTGCCTTCCATACGCCGGCCATTGCATGGGTGTGCTCACACCCAGACACTCACACACACAAAGATAACAAAATACTTTTAAATCTAAATACTATGCACAGAAGAAGAGTGGACAAAAGAATGTTATTTGGAATTTGATTTTGTTAATTTCTGACTTCTGGTTTAGTGGGAAAGGTATGACTGAGGTACGGCTGGGCCAGTGGAAAGGTGTTCAAGAGAATTCCAGTATTATCTTGTTGTTTTCAGTCATTTTTGTTTGGGATTTTTTGGGTTGTTTTTATGTCATCTTCCTTCGCTTATCACAGTGACTTAGATTCTAGTTGCCATGAAAAGGGGAAGCGATGTCTTTTTCTCTCTATCTAGCAATTGTCTTCCAATTTCTCAACCAAACTTGAAGATGGAATCTGAGAGCCTGGGAGGCAAACTTCAGGAGTAAGCAATTGATTCCTTCTTCTAACTGTTCCAGAATCCTGCACAGATGTCTAACCATCAACTGATTTCCTCTTTAATACCAGGCTTATGTCCATCTGGAATTTGACTTACCAGGGCAATTTTTTTGGTTTCTCTGTGTAGCCCTGGCTGTCTTAGAACTTGCTCTGGAGGAGGCTGGCCTTGAAACCAGAAATCTGTCTACTTCTGCCTCCCAAGTGCTGGGATTAAAGGCGAGTGCCACCACTGCTTAGCTGTCCAGGGCTTTTTTACACTTCCTGTCCTTGGTCAATCCATAGAAAACCGATTTTTATTTTGCTTATTTTATTGTCACTAAAATTCAGTGATTTTTTTCTCTAACTAGATGGCTTATAGGCTCTTCTTTATTAGAGATGGTTTCTGACTTAAAATAGTTTGGCTTATAAGTTTTTAAGTTTTACAACAGTGTGAAAGTGGTATGAAAATTTGCTGCAGGTTTTTAAATTTTTTATCTTCTCCAAGGACTATATGGTACAATACTCTCAGTATGCTGGGTAACAGCTGCAGGCTGCAGCTCCCAGCTAAGCCACACAATCACAAGACAGACTACCTATATTTGACATTATAATCTCTTACTAGGCTATGTATATTAAATGCATCTTTAACTTACAGTATTTTCTACTTACGATGATTTTGTTAAGATATAAGTCCACCTCAAGTTGATTGTTAAGATATAAGTCCACCTCAAGTTGAGGGGCATCCGTAGAAAGACCATCCTTAGAAAGATTAGCAATGTTTGACTTCCCTGTTTCCACACAGAATGTTCTAGGCTTCTAAATGGTGACTTGAATGGGAAGAATCGGAAAGCTTTGATTTGAGAGTTCGACCCCACCCCCTTGCTTTGTGTTTTTCACCTAGTCAGAATGGCTAAGCCTTCCTGAGCCTAAATTTAATATGCTGACCCGCAGGAGCATTTGTGTTAGGCAGAAGAATGTTCGTTAGCAGTTCACTTAGCCTAGTAGGCGAGCAAGCATGAGCACCCGGAAGCATGAAAAGCACGGCTATATTCCTTGCTTGATCCATAGCAAGGATGTTTCTGCCAGCCAGAGGAAGCGTAAGTGGGGGAGGCTTCCTGGAACAGTCCCTCCCCCCACACCCCTTCCCCCGCGCCCTCCCCCCACACCCCTTCCCCCGCGCCCTCCCCCCACACCCCTTCCCCCGCGCCCTCCCCCGTGGATGAAACAGTTGGTGTGGCTACATTAGAGAAGGATGCATGGGGATGGAATACAAAGG